TCTTCAGGAGTCGGCGATGCAGGACGTTGACAGAGGTACTCCTGCATCAGCAGTTGTCGGAGAAGGGACTTATCCCTTACCTGAGCTGTTGCCAATGAACTTGACAGCGCTCTACTCCGCTAGCTCTTCGGAGTGCTCGAAACGGTTCCCGGTTGCTCGCCGTCGCCTTCTGTCACGTCCCAGCAGACACTTCCATCAGCTGATTACAATGGATGCCTTAAGTCGCTTTGGTCACCGCCGGCAGAATAGTATAGGCCTCTAGATGTTTGGGTCGCATTCATAACCTGGTTGTGGAGCGGTCAAGCCTCATATACCTCTCAGGCGTCGGGTGCAACTCCAGATACGATCGACTTCCTCAACGTGCAAAACGTGAGGTTTGATCTGAAAAAAAACAAGCGAATCATTTAAATGGTAATACCCACCATCATGAAGCCGGCCCTTGAGCCAGACATGTGGTTCACCGCTACGGTCATTTCAAGGACTGTTATAAAGTGAACATCGTCATCGCTCTAAGTCTCCATCTCAACCGCGTTCGGGACCCGGAGGTGGCCGAGGGGCTGTTCTCCTGGTTTGCACGGCCGGCTGGTGGTGTCCACCGGCGCGCTAGCCTCTCTCGATGAAATGAGGTGGCGCCTACCGTCCTTCCACGCGGTACGACGTGAGCTGCGATACGATGTGGCGAAGATTGATGACGGAGGGACACAGAGGCGGCGTGGGTCCCTGTAGGTCCCTTCGCCGCGGTCCGGAATTCCAAAACGAAAACGTGGACGAAAGGTCTCTCGGCTATTCGGTGTGCGGTCGCGCGCACGCGCAACACAGGCGTTGTCACGCCCACACGAGCGTCATCACGCCTACACGGACGTCATCATGCTCACACGGGCGTAATCCCGACCATCCAAGCGTCATCACACTCACAAATGGCACCACGCAACTGCCGTCCGTGCGCCACGGGCGAGATGGAAGAGCTGAGTTGGATCGATTTGGAGCCCGTTTTCAAAATGATTACTAGCGGCCCTGCTGCTGCCTATACTGGCGCCTTGACGGGCCGCGGGATATCTGTCTTGATTCGTTTGTGGAACCACTCATCAACCATTGTTACAAAGCCCGGGGGCGCGCGGCCAGAGTCGTTAAAAATAAGGTGTCACATGCGGGCCGATCAGCGGGCCGGCTGTGACGTCACAACACCCACCGTCGTCGGCGAGCCGGCGCTGATGCCTGGTGAGCGTGCCCGCCAGCGGTGACTGCTGCCGGGACAGCGAACGCCAGCTGAGTCGGGTGCCTGCGAACCAATCACGCCCGAGCGGCGATGGCCCATTGTCCACACTCCGCTGAAAAGAGCCCTCTGAGCCCTCTGGTCTCCGTCCCGGACGCACACGTCCGCCTGGCAGATGCTCGTCACCACGGTAGACATGAGCAGGCGGAGAGGGAGTCGGGGGGGGGGGGGGGGGCCAGAGCGTATCGAAGGGAGATAAGATAATCGCTTATGGCGAGCCTCGTCACTGATGAGAGAAAGGGACACGCCCGTCTCGTCTTCCATTTCCACGGATAGTCCTTTGATTACGGTAGAAGCTGTCATGGCAGGTAGCGGCAACCCACCGAAGTGAACACGAGAATGATGCTAATAATCCGCCCTTTACTTCTTCCCCACGGCGTCCATATTCTCCGGTCCCGACGTCGAATTGGGGCTGTTCGAAGTTGGCTGACCCACCCACTCGAGCCGAACCGGAACCGAGGAAGAATCGCGCTGGGCTTGGGACTAACAATCCGCAGCCAGCTTCCAAAGCTCGTCGATTGGCTTGGATGGTAGCAGTGTCGGAGCACGCACATGGCGCGGCACTCGGGAAATCGGGGCACCGCATGCGTCTAGGGGCACAGCACGCTTTTGTGCAGACTCATGACGCCATTGGCGAAGACGCACTGTTTAAACTGTCCACCATAGTGGCCGGACTCACCGCCCGTAAATTACCCCCGGCCGTCCACAAGTGCACCGACCGCCATCTTGCGCGCGGCACGTTATAAGCGGCTGTCGGCACATGGCCGACGCGTGCAAGGACACAAACTGCAGGCCCGCGCTGTACCGCACTGCTGGGAGTCTCGCATTCTCCTCGTCATCATATTTAAGTGAACGACTCTACACGCGTTCTCTTCAGTGGCTTCATCGGCTGATTGCCCGCGGAGCAGCGATGCAAGAAAGCAACGGAGCAAAACACCGTCAGTGCCGACTACTCTGGAGCTCACACTTCTCACCCTGTTGTCGTCGTCATCCAGAGGTGGCCATGTGGGTAGGTGCACGTCAGTGATGGGGGCGCGCCATTTCCTAACTTACTCTTGATCATCTGTGAATTTGCGTTTTGAACGTGGCATTATGTTACGTAAAACAGGGAATTTTAAGATGGTATGCAAAACATGGCTTTATACAGTGCAGCCCACACTGGGCCCACGCACGCAGCCGCACACAGTTTACTGTGCAAAAAGCTGCGTAGGAAACAATTAAAAGCTGCGTAAAGTGCGTAACACACAGTTTACCTAGCACGGCCTACTATGCTGCTATTCGCTAATATGCTAGTTTGCGCTTCTAGTAGTTCATATGTGAAAAAATGACGACTTTCCAAACGCAGGAAGACGTTGCTTTCATTATATTTGGATACTACATTTGAAAATAGCGGGGAACATTTTCGACCTGCCATGAACTGATATGAGGTCCGAGTGGCCTGCTTGGCAGCTGATAACGTCATGCCACATGCAAGCACTGATCGGCGCAAGGGATCGTCACATATCAGGAACAGCATCGTCACATCAGGCAATACGACGGACAAGCCCCTTAAGTCTGTACTTCCGGTAGCGCTTCAGCATAACTCGTTTTAGCATGACCCATCGTGACCTGGTTGACCCAATTTTGACTCCATCCAGATAAAGAGTCGAGCTGCTAGCTTGTTTCGCAGAGTCAACAAAATGAATTGCATTAACTCGATTCAACATTTCTAACGTGTTAAACACTTTGGGACCACCCGGACACCTTGGTCGTGTGCGCCGTTCCACGCACGCAGGACATCGAACATTGCAATCTATTTGTGGCCGACACATCGCACGCATCGCGTCGCTGTGCTTTCCTAAATCGCCGCGCGTCACGCACCCCGTTTGCGTCGGTAGAGTACCGCCTCCAGCCACGCAAAATTGATTCGCATCGCAATGATGCAAAGCGGCCCCGCACTGTGACGTCTTATGCACGCTGTGACCTCTCACGCACGTTGCGGCCTCTCATGAAGGCTGTGGCTGCTTATGTTCGCTGTGACCTCTCACGAACGCTGTGACCGCCCAAGCACGCTGTGGCCTCTCACGAACGCTGCGACCTCTCAAGCGCCGCGACCTCTCATGCACGCTGTGACCGACACTGATATCGGGCGGAAGTAAATTTATGTTGCGGATCGTCACGATGGCTGCGCCCGTCATCTTGGCAAATTGCACGCCAGCCTGTGACAATTGTAAGGCAATCTGTCTGGTGCGTCTGACAAAATCGACGGGCACACACAGTCAAACGTGCGCTCTTGATAAACTCAGTTAATCCAGGGATCTCAGGGATCTCAGTTAGTTTGTAAGCTGTTTAGCAACCCACGGAGTGCTCGCAAACATTGCCCGGCGCTCCACGCACTCAGGACAGCAAATAGATATCATGTGATTGTGGCTCCCGCTTCCTCCGCCTCGCGAAGATGCCACCTCGTACGCGTCGGTATGGCATCGTCTCCAACTATATAACACATTTATTTGCATCTCAATAATGCGTAGTGCGTTCTGTTCACTTTTTCTCCAATCCCTGAATGCTGGTCTCAAATGTGGGCAAGCTTGCTGGTAGTCGAATTTTGCAACCATTTTTACCTTTGTCAAATTAACGCCATCAATTGTCAGTTCCCAATTTGGGTACGTTATATTCATCCTTGCTCGAGTCTGTGACATGCTTTCGGCGACTTGGCTTTTGCCAAACACGCAATAAAAATTTTCCTGTCAACGGAGGACCAGTTGTCAATATCTATCTCCAAATCCTACATATTTGGACAATATTCCTGCAAAATTCCAAGCACGTGTAGTGTACAATTTTTAGCTCAAGGGGGCCATGAAGTCTTGGTCCTCCCCTTGCCCACGTCCCTTAGTTTTGCACGACTTGTTTCTCTTGCAGTCCCCGCGAGCGCTGCCATCGGTTCTGGTGCACGACGGACGTAACTTTATGTCGTGGATTGCCACGACGGCTGAACACGCTCTATGTGCAACTTTCATGGCAATCTGTGCAGCTGTCTATGCCGTGCGTATGGCTAAGGAGCGTGCATACGCAGAAAGACAGACGCCCTTAACTTAGTTGTTTAGATGTGAGGGCAATGATAGGTCCTGGCTCTCTTACACCGGTATCCATAGTGGTAAACCAATTTCTATGACTGTAAAAGTCATGAATTTGTCAGGGTCGGTTCAATAGGCGAAGGGGGCACATGCTGAAAATTTACAACGCCGATACTTTGGCCATGGGCACAAGTGAAGGGGACCCAACCACCTCCCTTAGGTCCGATTTCTAAACTTCTTTGTTAAAGACGGCTTTCAAAATAAGCTAGAAATCTGTGTAATGCTTACTCACTGAGCTCCACTTCTCCTAATAAAATTCTGAAAATACTTCTGTTCAGGGCTCTCCCTGAAACTTTGCATACGTTTGCTTGGATACAATGAACACCTATTTACTAGTCCTGTTCACCCAATCCTCTGTCCAGGAACTAAAACAAAAATGACATGCAAACCACGAAGGCACGCTTCAATAATAATCTACACATCATGTCGAACAGTTTAAAAATGAGTTTAAGTATTTTAATTGTTTTCGTGAATTCACTCTGTTCTTACAATTTACACAGAAAACATAGGAAAGTGTATTCTTTACAGCGAGTTGCATCGTTCGACGCCATTTGTTACGCTAAGACGTCAGTGACGAACTTTGCGCGGGGGCCTCTGCTCTGACGCATATTTACTTCTCGGATGAGTGGGTGGATGGGGGTGATCGCGTTTTCCGTGCAAGTTGAGTGGGTGTGTTTTGTTATTTGATTTATGCGTTGTGGTTTACACGTTGTTAGATGTTTACTTGTGAAACAGGCACGGTATGCGGTTGAATTGGTGACATTTTTGTGCAGCGAGATTCCAGCGGACCTGAGGTGTGAAGTCAGGCTATCCGCAATCAGTCCTGGAAATGGAACCTAAGCCTTAACTCAATGGGAACAAGTCAACTTTGTGCCATTGTGACATACTTATGGACCGAAGTGACGCCTGAGCAAGACACTTGTTGATGAATCATCCGACATCCAAGAAGGGGATTGGGTTCTTGAATGATGAAATTTTGAATGTGCTTGGTTCAAGCCTTCCCAGGATGTCAAGACCTCACATGCCATTCTTTTCAAATTCTCATGCCATTAGGCAGGAAATACAGCGCTTTGAAAGTGTGCATCCTTCCATATACGCTATTTACGATTTGATTGAGCATGTTCAAGACCCTGCATTGGCTCAACAAGTCAGAGAACATGTTGTTTGTATTGAAGGTAAGGATTGACACCATTTATATTCATAATTTTAAACTGGGATTTTTAGCATCTTTAGTATCCCTGTTCTTGAATGATTAACTTTGATAACAAAACACTGTTGTTGTGCCAATATGTCAGCATGCCATGAATACAGCACATATCCATGAGTATCTGGATGCTGAAGTGGCTTGTGTGCTGAACCTGGTGCATGTATTGTTAAATTTTCAAACTAAGCCCTGGAACTGTGCTTGGGACATGTTTAGTCCAAAAGGCCTTTACAATGTACTTAGGCATTGAGACATTGACACTTGTTCCCTGAAACTAGTAGCAAACCGTACTCCAAATTAGATGCTCACATGTTGCTACTGCTGAACCAGATAAATTTGTTGTAACATGTATATTTCGCAGTGTGGCTAATAAATCACTGTGTGTGGGTGCACATCATCAGTATTCATGCATTGTCCATCACTTGGCCTTACATTTGGTAAACATTGATTATGTAGAACTGAAAAATTCCTTACAAGTGGTTGATGTACAGATGCGCTACCATTTTTTGGGTCAGTTTTAGCCCCAGTATTTTAATGTTGACTAGTTCTGTGATAGCAATCCCACACAGTGTTCAAGATATGCTTTGGTGTGCTTTGTTTAGTATAATAGTTGTCAAGGATTGAAGTGTACACATGTATAATTAAGATTTGGGTTTAAATGAACCCATAAACTTTTGTCTTTGTCAAGACGGATGTATTTTTTAGTAAGACTGGTGAGCATATGTTATTTTGCATGTAAAATGCCTTAAATGGGTCATGGTTCTAGTGCTGGTGTAACGTTTTGACTTATTATATGCATAGCTTATATATGTGGCCGACACAAGTCCACATTAAAAGAGATGTTTGCAGCTAAGACATGATGCTTTGTAATACCTTAATTGTGGCACATGATACTACAAGTTCACAATTTTACATATATATATATTATGCTATGTTTGTGTAATACTGTAACTACATCATATTAGTCCCAAAGTATTGTATTGTATTACCATAGATGAATACCAATAGATGAATCCATACAGTCACCAAAGAAATGTGCAAAATGGCTTTGTTAATTTTTGGAAAGGAAAATTTGAACTGTTTTCTCTTGTTCAGCAAATTGGTAGAGCCTTTGGTTAGCTCAGCTTGCAGAGTGCCACAAGATTGCACCTTGAGCTGGCCTTTGAAATGGCAGGTGGTCAGAATAATTATTTTATAGTACTCATTTGGCTGGTTAGAGGTAGTCAACTGGTCATAAGACTATGCTTTCATCATTCCCCAGTAGCTGATGCACTCATAAAACTACCAAAAGTATTTTGATGTGGCATTATTATGTGCACTCTACTGCGGATAAACTTAGCTGCACACCTGAGCCAAAGATTAGGGAGTTTGAAAATGTCCAAATTATTGTTCAGAAGCCATAATTTTGTTAAAAATGAATGTGAAAACTGCAGTAAGGTTTGCACAAACATTATTGCTTGGGTATTGGGCTGTGATATGACACATTGGTAGGTGCAATCAGAAGTTTTGTGATCTTGCTAATGTATGTATTTGATTTAATTTTAGTGTGCTGGTTTCTGCATATACCTTGTGGATCTTTTATGGTTTATCTGTATGTAATGTCATTGTTAAATCATGTTTTCATTTAAAATAAATGTGATTAAGAACAATTTGATGTCAGCCATGTTCTGGCACACTTAGCCACAATTTTGGTTCTTGCCATCTTAAATTATAAGTGCAATTGCAAGCAGTTTTATTGTTTTGGATCATGTAATGGTGTAGTCTTGTTTGACTTGGCTTTGAGTGCCAAAAGCACAAATACGCATCAGCTCTCACAAAGTGTAAAGCTACATGCAGTGACCTTGGAGTGGCAGGAGGAAACCTTTGTCAAGGACTGACATTGGGTGGTTTTGTTTTTGTTTTTATGTTTATGGGTATTTTAAGGGATGTCTATTTTCATGATAAGCTGTCATTGCAATATTGGTTATGTAAACATGTTAAGTCACGTGGTGCTGGTGGTGAGAAGTCTTGTGCCCACACTGCGAGGTGTTCAATTCTGGCAGATAATATTCTGTATAATTTGCCATGGTTCTTATGGCCATTAAACTTGTTTGTATGATTCTGACAACATGAATGGTATCCTTAAGCAATTTGTGCATCACATGAAGCTGTGCAGGCGTCCAGCGTGTGTTGGCCGGGCCGCCGTCGGTCTTGGCCGTCCGGCCCGCGCCCGCCCGTGTTTTGTTGCCGCGCGGCGCTCCCCAGCAGCCGCCCCCGTGCCGGCAGACTCGTTCGTGAACAGCCAGGAGTGGACGCTGAGCCGGGGCGTGCCCGACCTGCGGCTGGGTATCGTCGGCAGCCTCAGCTCGGGCAAGTCGGCGCTGGTGCACCGCTACCTGACCGGCTCCTACATGCAGGAGGAGTCGCCCGAGGGCGGTCGCTTCAAGAAGGAGATGGTGCTCGACGGCCAGAGCTACCTGCTGCTTATCCGGGACGAAGGTGGCCCGCCCGAGCTGCAGGTGAGCACGCCCCCCCCCCCCCCCGCTGTACGCATCTGCCGCGGGCTCCGGCTGGCGGCAGGGGTGGCGCCGCCGACCGCGTGGGTAGCTGCAGGCGGCGCGGCGTGACCCAGCAGCGGCCCTTCGAGGCAGGCCGGCCGCCCCGGCACGGCCAGCGGCGCTGCCGGTGCCAGGCGCCAGCGGACGCGTTAGGCAGGTGAACACGTGCTGTCTGAGACCCCCTGCACGGGTACGCGCATGCGTATGCGTGGTGCTGCCCCATGCACCCCCTGCTCTGTGTGAGTGGTACTACCAGAGGATGCAGTAGTTCCTCCAGATGACTGTGTTTATTAGCGGGATTGTATGCCATTCTACGCATACGAGCTCGGAAAACATCACGCTCTGGGTGGCTAACGATAATCGGTAACCGAGCACAAGATCGAATACAAAATCTTATTGTAAGCAAGCTTCGTTCCAGAACATTGTACGATTGAATTATAACACGGGACGAAGAACGTAAGAGCAACATATTGTGTGAGATAAAGATCGAATATAAAAAGATCACGTGGTAAAATATCTTACCGGATAAAAATCAAAGATCGTAAATCAAGATCGTGTGGTAAAATACAGCACGGGATGAAAGCATGCTGGATAAAGGGCGAGCGGGGTGAGGATCGTATCGGTTAAGGGTAATATCCCAAAATATCTGACGGGATGAACAGCGGGACAGAAACCGATATGGGGAGTTGGGGAGGGCGTGAACAATATTCTAAGCCCATTAGAGGTGTTGTGCTTGTGTACTTAAGCTCCAAAAGGCAGCGTATACAGAAAACAGAGGGACAAAATCCATGCTCGCATGCCTCAGCCTTTGACGTCTGAGAGGCTTGCCACAGGATAAAGCAAGCATTGTGCTGCTTACACGGCGACATCGAATCGTCCTATGTCGTAGGTTAAATGCACCACCATTTTCCTCGTTCCTCGTTGGTTTCATGCGCCAAATGGACCTCGTTCGTGCGATGGGACCGCCGGACAGCACTGCTGTATGTACAACGCACATGCATTTCCTGTTACGGCACGCCTGCGTTCCGGTTGTCATGGGCGCTATGGGCTCTGGTCGGCGCGCCCTAATGCTCCGGACGTGGTCATTGTCATGATTAGCAGCGACAACGTCCTGACTGGCGTAACGGGACTGGCGCCGCGCTCCAGCCTCTCAAGGCGGATATGGGGTCGACTCCAGACAACTGTGCTCAGTTGCTAATACGTTGGAGTTGCGCCAATTTCCCATAGAAAAGTTTTTTCGTTGTCGGCAATTCCCGATTTTTCGGCGGTAGAGGATTTGAAATAAGAGTTAATGCAAGTTTCACTGGGTAGATTTCCCGTGTCGGTATGCATAAATTACCTTGAAAGCCAACCTAAAAAAGAGAATAAACTATGTAGTTGGGCTCGTCGCAGTTCTGTAACAGAATGCCTGATTTACTACGACGGGCGTGTGGGTCCGAGACCCAGCATTTGCGAAGCTTCCGGTCTTTGACGGCGTGTTTGGATGGGTTCTGTCCTGAAATCGGCGTCGCAGATCCCGAGTGCAGCTAGCCATTTGTCGAACTATCACAAGTGTTGCAGGGGGGGGGGGGGGGGGGGGACTGGTCACCAAAAAGGGCCATCAAGTGGCGACGGAACTAGGTATACAGGTAGCCTTTTACGGGAAATAGCATTTAAGATGCGTATGCGCGAAATAACTCACAAATTTATGCGCAGTATGCACTTCCGTGTATACAAAACAACGGAATAGCCAGTGCATTTGTGTGACACAAAATGAACCCTTCATTACTGCGCACCGATGGCACCAATACGCATGGCATTGCGACCAGCCCGTTCCACTTCCGTGGCGCCGAGTATCCCGGCGGCTGGCACCCGCCGCCGTTTGGGGGCCGGGGAGGGGCTGAACGAGCGTCAGAGCTGTCCCTCCCACGCGTCACCAATCCGATGAATCGGTGGGCCGGACAAAGCCGAGATTGTGAGGCTCAGTGCGGTTGGATGACCCCCTGATACGGCGTGGACCCGAGCTGCGAGCTCCGATCTCTGACCGGCTCTGCGGTGGGTGGGCATGGTGGGCCCGGGAGAACGGCGTGGCGGCGGGTGACACGGCCCGAGAATACGGCGGGCTCTGCGGTGGTCCGGTGCTTGTTCACGCATCAGGCGCTGTCCGCAGTCCAGTCCAGTCCAGTCCAGGTCAGGGGTCAGGTCCGGTCTGGAACGGTCCGGTTCTCGCCGACTGCCACCTAAGGGTCCGTGCTTCCATCGGGTGGTGCGGCTCGCGGGCCAGACCAGCTCTGGAACGGCCCAGTGCTTACCAGTTGGCAGCCCAGACCCTCGGCTGCGGCCGGCAGACGCGGCTGGTCTGCGGCCGGGTACACAAACTCCCCCGCCTCTGACGCACGCCCCGCTGCGGCGGCGGGGCCGGCAGGGTAGCCGTGCAGCGCCGCCGGCGGTGATCGGCACCTCGCCGGACCGGGGGCCGCCGGCGCACGGTGCTGGCCGCGCTGCCGTCTGGACGGCCTGGACGCCTGGGCTGGTGCACGGGGGGGATCCATCTGCCAGGGCTGGGCGGAGCGGGACCGGGTGGAGCATGACTGGGCGGGGTGGGGCGGGGCTGGGTCGGATGGAGCGTGGCGGGGCGGGGCCGGGACGGGACTGGGTGAGGCGGGTTGGGGCTCGAGCGTGGCGGGCCGCCGGAAAGGGCGGGTGCAAAGGAGGAAGGGGTGGTGCTTTCTGACAGGCGGAAAGCTGAAGAAGGTTTGAATAGATTGCGCTCGCCAAAAGTCACCCAATGACACTGTGTTTAAAACGAACGGACAATTCAAATTTCGAAAGCCAACTTACAAACCTAACGAACTTGAAGTGCAGACATTTTGTCAAGCATGCCCGTTGCATCAGGCAGTAGCAAAGTGGGCATAATCCATGCGGCACACACTAAGGTCAAAGCTTTATGGAACTATTGCGGCGGAAAGGAAAAAGAGAAGGAAGGAAGCTATTTGAATCAGGGGAGTATTTTGCAACTTCGTACTCTGCCTTGTCGAATTATTTTGATAGCTGCTGGCAGTCTCGGGTGTCATCTGCATTGTGTATCCGAATTTAAAATGTAGGGGGAAATAATGGTGGTTGGCGGTTCTCAGCCTCCAAATTTTGGACTCGGGAATCCCACCCTGCCTAGGTAGTAGTGTAGGAGCGATAAGGCCCCATTTTCTTTTTAAATGAAACAACAAGTGAAATGCTTGTAAAGGAAGGGAATTCAGGTGTTAAAGGAAATGGCATTATGTCATGTCGTCCAGTTCAGCGAGTGTTGGTGACATACGTAACAGTATGGTATGTGTACGTTTCTGTGGATTCTTGTCTGTCGCGATAATCATTTGCATTTTGACGACAGACGACATGGGTGTACCAATTATATATATATATATATATATATATATATATATAAATGTTTCCCAAACAATGGAAATCAATATCCGAAAATCTGGGGAAAATTCAGGATTCCGGGTAGGTTAGGTCAACCTAATTGGCTCCGCCTCCCAACCGATTTTAGAAAGTGACAACCATCCACTCAAACAGCCAAATAGACATGACGTATCTTCAGCTATTAGCAAGGTCGCTTTTTAGCTGACTCCGCCGAAGGTCGTGGACGTCAAATCAACGGCCTTGGACTTCTGAAATCTGCTCATTGCCGTTGTTCTGGTCAGTTCTGAGCTGTCTGCGGTGCTGCCCACCCGGTGTCTGCTGCCCTGAGACATATGGCGGCGTTGTCCGGTGCTGTTCCCGCTGCTGATGTCGACACCGGCTGCCCGCGGCCGAGCCGCGCCGCGTGTGGGACGGTCCGCGCACGCGACGTCAGTGCGTCGGACATACGGGACTGGGTGAAGCAGGCACGGCCAGGGGACAGGAGCCGGACGTGGGGTTTGGGAGGGAGGAGAGGTATTATTGGCAGGACTTGACATGACTTGCTGGGCTGCCCAGCTGCCACATAATATTCTGGAGCGCGGATTGTGGTAATCGTACTGGCTGGGGTGCCATAGGTTTTAAGGGTTCACGGTGGCTGTTGGGTCGAAATTGGGGCAGAGTTTCTTGATGAAAAAGTAAGACGTTGTGGTCAAGGTGCAAAAACGCAGCAGTTTCGTGAACTGGGCAATTCCGGTGATTGTCATCGTAGCCAGGTCATCGCCATGTGGTCTTCGGGCGCTCAGATCCAAGATCTTAGCAACCACATTAAGCGTGTACCACTCAGCTTCATGGGGGAATATTCGGGATCGCCCCGTAGAATAAACATGGAGGAGCATGCCAGTTCTGTTGAGATGATTTGGTCATCGCGAAATATGCACGAGACTGTTTGATGTTCGGCCAACCGGTGGGCTATGAAAACACTCAGTTTAGCTGCACATTAATTCACAGTTGTGTTTTCCATGTGGCCGGCGTAGGCACCCGACGTTGACATAATTACCAGCTTGAGAAATGTTTGACTTTTATGCGCAGCGAACGGCGAGGTTGCGATGGATTTTGCACAGCGGCGTTGGTATTCGCTTTTTGTAATATTCGCTGTAATAAAGACTCGAAAAAGAACAGCGAGACTAAAGTAGCTCGATCTACGTTCTTTCGCCTTTGACATTCTGTCGTAGGTTCAAAGCTAAAATCATACAGCAATATCTGCTTCTGTCACTTCGGATGTTGAACTCGTTAACATTCGACGTTCAGCTACAGTGCCGAAATACAGAATACTGTTTAAGCAAAGTAAAACACCGAGAAAGACGGGCAGAAATATATATTTTGAAAGAACCATGTGCATTGCTCTTAGGTCTCATGATCGTATGCCGTTGAGCATAGGGCATCGCTGAATATGTGGACAGTAGTTCGATGCATTTCTAGCCGGACAGCACGCGGCGGCGATGCAGTCATGTGCAATGACCGGACCACGACGGGTAAATCCCAGTGGCTTCCTTAGCGTGATCAAGATCGACAGTCTTGAACACTTA